TAGTTAACAAGACTATGTGCTCTAGAGAGTGGTTATTTTAAAAATGTGTGTTAATCTTAGATGCAAAAAAACAAATAAACAAAAAACAACAACAAATGACAGGGCTTGCTTAAGGCAAAGATAAATCTTTTACTAAAGTTATACAACGACTATGACCTGACCAGTTAGGAATTTATGATCAGATCACACTGTTAGGTTACTTTCCTAAACAGCTTTTTCATTTACACCAACAACTCCTTTTTGAAAATCACTAGCATACCAATCCTAAATCGAAAAACTCTGGTTACTTACCGATAGTAACAAAAATTTTAAACAAATACTCATACAATGTTTTTAAGAAAGTTTATTCTGAGAATTTCAGTTGACAGCCAAATCAAACTATGACCTACATGATATTCTTGACAACTATATGTGGTCTATTATAGTAGAGAGACATAAATTCTTGTACTCTGAATTACTGACAATCTTGTTATGCATTTTAGGAATAGGGAAGATTATCATCAGTGTCCCTTCGCTAACAATATAAACAAGATTGTGTAAATAAATGAGAATTAAATACATCAAATATTTATTAAATAGCAGAGTATGTTTGAGGTATTGTGCACTGGTGACACAAACAGTCCCTTAGTCTTACAAAACAAAAAGTCTTACAAGATTGAAAAAAGAAAGTTTCTTTTAAGTTGAACAGACTCCTTCCTCTAGAATCTAAATTACTTTCTTAATTGGGTAATTTGGGTGACAAATTCTTTAGCCACTCTTCCCAATGTAGTTTTAAGTCACATTCCAGGTATAGTTGTAATGAGTCAGAGATAACTCTCTGAATAGGCTATTACATACGTGCTTTGATAAGCAGTGGTTACAGACTTAAGTGACAATCATCGAAGATTGTGTTTATGTTGGGATTTTTTGTTTATCTCTTCTCCTTTACTTAGAAGTCGATCTCTAGGTACCCTTAGGAAACAATGATTTATTCGGGCCTCCAAAATAGTGTATTAGGAATATTATCATTACAATTCATCAATATAAATCAATAGGTATATATCTATTAATACTTTTCTCCTTAAATACTCTCATATTCTCATTACCTTTAGTGACACACGAGACTACATGCTAAGCATCTTCAGAAGGTTGTTTCCTTACATCTACACACCCCGAGAAAGATACTTCCTTATCTGGTGTACTGAAGGAAGGGCGATTGTCACTCGGACACTCCCCTTCCGGAGTTCAACTGAGCCCAATGCACAAGGCTGTGAGGATTCACAGATTTGGTCTCCAACCTCAGGGAACTCTCAATTTAGTGGGGAGAAAGACACACAAACTGCATAACACTATCATTAATGCCAACTCTCAACAAAAGAAAAGTAGGTCAAGATAAAAGTAGTGGGAAGTGTTGCTCAGCGAGAAATAACCTCCATTCAAACCATCTTCAACAATCTTGATGTTCAAGCACAATGCACGGTGGGAAAAACCCTCCTGAAGCAGGACCCTTGGTTTCTGCCTTCTAACGCACAGCAGCTGTGTAACTTCTAGCTCGTCCCTTAACCAGACTTGACCAGCCTCAAGGCCTAAACCCAAATCATCTTACCAGCATACACCAAACTGTCTCTAGTGGTTTTTCGGATCTAAGATCTGCTTCATCCGCACACTCACCCGTCAGACGCCCCAATGAACTGCGGCCCAGGAAGCTAGGTGAGTTCCTACACTGTAAGCTAGGTGAGTTCCTACACTGAACTTTAAATCATCAACAGGAAAAACGGAGATAGACAGGCCCTGCATTGTGCTTTAACGATTGACAGAGGTGGGGGGGGGGGGGGTTGGAGGGGTGGAGAGGAGAGAGATTCCACATGCCATGATACAGCCTTATAAAAAGATGATCGAGAATAACTGAAGGTCTGACCTGTGGGCCATTCTAGCACAACAGCAGGCTGTGGTTTCCTACCAAGAATCCGAGTTTCCGCTCCGGGAACCAAGCATCCCGGAGAAATCCATCAGATATCAGAAAAACCTCCCAGGGGCAGGGAGGAATCCCGGATAAGACAAGCGTGTTCTCTCTCCCTCTCTCCCCCACCCCTTCTCTCTCTCTCTCTCTCTCTCTCTCTCTCTATATATATATATATATATATATATATATATATATATATATATATATACACATATATATATATACATACACATACACACACACACACACACACATTTATATGTAATCACACACACACACACACACACACAGCCCCATCTTTTTCCCCCTAACCCTCCGGCTATGCCCCGAAAAAAAGCGCCAGATCAGCATCATCATCATCCGCGTTTCATTCCTCCCCTTTTGCAATCAGCTACCCGCTTATAATAAACAGACCTCGTGCTCCGGGGGAGAAGTGACTTCCCCATCCAGTCCAATGAAAGTTCCTTCTTTTCACTCACCGCCGCCGCCGCCAATCAACACCCACCCTCCCCGGGGAGGAGGTCCGGCACTCCTCTCGTCCCCCCCCCCCCGCCCGCCACCCCCGGCGCCCCACGCCCTGCGATCGCCCCACTTTTCGGGGCCCCACGGCCCGGGGTCGCAGGGCTCCGGGGAGGCGAGGGGGAGAGGCCAGCAGGGGGGCGTCCCTCCCGGCCGCGGGCGCCAAGCTGCCCGCCCCCCAAGGCCCCCCCACCCCGGGTCCCGGGCCCCCCGAACCCCCCCGCGCCGCCCCCACTCACCCACTTTGTCCTTCCCGTACATGTGCCCGGCCACCTGGTGCGACAGCGGCACGCAGCCGTTGAGGAAGCGGAGCGCGCCGCCCGCCGGCTTCGGGGTGCCCTCCGCGTCCGCCCCGCTGGCCGGCGGGGTCCGCCTGTCCGGGGCGCCGGGCGCCTCCAGCCGAAGCGGGGACGGCGGCTCCGTTGCCATCACGGTAAAGCTGGAGCGGTGGCGGCGGCGGCGAGGGCAGAGGGGGGTAAAAAGAAAAATAAATAAAATAGGGTGGAGGGAGAGGGCGCCGGAGACCCCGGGGTCGTCGCTCAGGCGCGGCCGCGAGGAGGCCCGGGGGTTCCCGCGGCGGGTGCCCGCTGAGGCCCGGGGAGGGCGCCCATGACGCCGCGGAGGCGCGGGCGCTGCGCTCCCAACCGCCGGCGGAGCGCGCCGCCGGCTCCCGCTGCCCTGCCGCCGCGGACCCGGCCCGGAGACGGAACCCAGCGGCCGAGCGGCGGCGGCGGCGGCGCCCGCGCTCCCGGGGGCCTGACGGCGGCGGCCCCGCCCCGCCCCGCCCCGCAGGCCCCGCCCTCCGCCCTCCGCCCTCGCGCGTCAGCGCCTCCTGCTTCGGCCGCCGCCGCCGCCGGCGCGAGCCTCGGGCTGCGCGACCCGCGGCCGCCGCCGCTGCCGCCGCCACTGAGCATGCCCAGAGCCCGCCGGCCGACCCCCGGCGCGGCCCCGCAGCCCGCGGCCACCGGGCTGGGCGCGCACAGTCTCGGCCCTTCACTCGCCACCCACCCACCCCCTTACACCCCTCCCGGGCCTGCGTTCCGAGGCCGCCCGTGCCGGGGCGCGTTCATTCATTCAGCGCTTCCCGGGATCCGCTCCGAGGCGCCGGGGGCTCCCCGGGGCGAGGAGCGGGCAGTCAGACCGGTGCTCCGAGGGGGAGGCGGCAGCGGCAGTGCCCGGGGTGGCTTGGGAGGCGGCCACCCCTTCACTCATCACCTTGGGAGGTCCCCCTTCACTGCATCAACTCCCTGCAACCCCCACCCCGCCCAGAATCCATAGTCAAGACCGGCAGCGCCTTCGAAGAAGACGCACCTTTAAAACACCCTTCAAGCCAATCCTAGCCCCTCCTCTCTCCCCAGTTTGGTGGCCCTCAACGACTCTTATAAAAAAAAATTTTTTTTGGAAAATGGAACTGACATTTGATTTCAGACTGTAGATGGCAAAGAATAATGTTCATTCTTTTTCCCCCTTAAAGTACTGAAAAAATTTCATGCAGTTAAAAAAAAATAAGCCTTTCTCTCTCTCTCTCTCTCTCCCTCTCTCTCTCTCTCTCTCTCTCTCTCTCTCTCTCTCTCTCTCTCTCTCTCTCCCATTCGACCCCTTAGCACGGGTTCCAAGGTCCTCAACAGCTGGGACTAACTGCTGGGTAAAAGGCAGAAGAACGGGGATGTGCCCCAGGAAAGCAAGGAGAGACTCTGGAATGGGACTCAACACTTGGTTTCTGTGTCTGCCGCTGGCATTTTTACAAGAAAAGGTGGACCTGGCCTGGCAGGGACCGGTCCGGACAAGAAATTTTTAGTTTTTTAGGTAAGATCTTAGCTATCTGATGATGGCAAACGTCTTCCTAACACCTGTCCAGTGCCCGGAGAAACACACACACACACACACACACACACACACACACTGGGCGACACACACACACACACACACAATCTGATGATGGCAAACGTCTTCCTAACACCTGTCCAGTGCCCGGAGAAACACACACACACACACTGGGCGTCACACACACACACACACACACACACACAGAAACACACACACACACACACACACAATCTGATGATGGCAAACGTCTTCCTAACACCTGTCCAGTGCCCGGAGAAACACACACACACACACACACACACACACAGAAACACACACACACACACACAATCTGATGATGGCAAACGTCTTCCTAACACCTGTCCAGTGCCCGGAGAAACACACACACACACACACACACACACAGAAACACACACACACACACACACACACACACACACACACACACACACACACAGGGCGAGACGTAAAACCTGGCCTGGATTCCTTGTTCCCGAGGCCCTGCCTCCGGGCTCCGGGGACCCCGCCCACGCAAGTTTGCGCAGACTCAGTGGCTACCTCTCTTCCTCCCGCCCCCCTCCCGCCCCGCCCCCCCCCCCCCCCCCCCAGCAGCTGTCAAACCCGGACTGTGGACTTCCTGGACGCTCCGGACGCGGCTCTGCGCATGCGCGGCCTCGGCCCGGGCGGAGGAGACGCACGTGCTTACGGACTGCCGCGCGGCGCCTGCGCGGTAGCCGCCCGGAATCGGTGCCCTTAGGACGCCTTTCGCACCTTGACTCGGTCTGTCCGCAGCGCTTAGCCGCCGCCGGTTTGGGTTCAGTGTCCGGTGCACACACGCCTTGCAAGCGACGGCGCCATGAGCCTGCCTTCCAACGTACGAGGTGAAGTGGGGGCCCGGGAGCGGGTGAGGCCGGCGGCCTGCGCCCCGGTGCAGCGCCGTCAGCACCTCTCCTGGCTGTTAGCGCTGCCCCGGGCGCCCTCCGGTCTGGTCACCTTGAGATGCACCAAGGGCAAGCTCTTGGCCGACCCACGGGCTCTCTGGGCCGAACGGGGAACGCGGTATGGATTGGCGCTTATCCCCGGGGAATAGTTTGGCTTGGGGAAACCATGCAGACATCTTATCTCCTGCCCAGGTCTGGATCAGGTTTCCGCTCACCAGCCAAACCCTAAAGCCTAAGGATCCCGCCGCCGCCGCTGCCGCTAGCTTTTCTCTGTGGAGCCCCCTCTGTGTTCTGAAGTCATAGGGCTTGGGGAAAAAAGGAGAGATGAAAAAAAGCAAAACAACAACATCAAAACCTGTTTCCCCCTTCTCACGTTTAAATCACCGTGGAGTTGGAACGTGTATTGCCTGCAACCCTGAAGGGATGCATGACTCATCACATCTTAGTTTTGCACATATTTTTAAAGGGAAGAAGCCCAATCCGAGATTTTTTACGTTTTCCCAGTTTTTCGTGATGCCTCTGGCATCTGGCGCTTCCTGGCTGTAGTAGTCCAGGAGAGAAGATTGAAAACCTTTTTTTTCCTTTTCTTTCCAGCCTTGCTTCCCTTGTGCTAGTACCTAGCGTTTGGAAGTGTCACTTCACAGAAGGTCCGATTAAAATTAAGAGACTTTCTAGAAGTCAGTTAATGTGAACTTCATTTCATAACAGTTCTCGGTGGTGGTGCTATAACTATTAATATATTCTGAGCACCAGCTACAGGATACATGTGATCTCTCTGCCCAGGATAAAATGCCACACCTCAAGGTTTGGTTACCTGTAACAGTAGTTAAGGAGAGGTAAAGAGATTGTCCAGAAGTTAATTAAAACTAGCCCAATTGATTTGTTCAGTAAATATTGACTACCTAGAATGCCAGAATCTGTAAAAAGGTTCCTCCTACTAGTTTGAGCCCTAATTCTGTAATAGATTCTATACATTGGAGAATTCCACTTCTGTTCCCAACGTTGCTGTTAGAGTGAGGGTGACAACCCATGACATCTTCAAGTTACAATGAGGTGTATAGGAGGTGATTACTTGCAAAAATTATTTCAAAGGATACTCACCTTGAGTGTCAAATAGAGGCATCGGGGTGCATTTAAAGTAGAGATTGATTTTTGTTTGTGTTTGAGGTTTTTTAAACCAAACCTGTATTTTCTCAGGAATAAGACTATTATGTAAAATACTAGTGTGACTTGAGCTACTGGTAATTTTTTAGGAAGGTAGTTTGCATTTGTGTGATAATGGATGGAAAGATTCCAAAATGTGTCCTTAAAATGTAGAGTCATTTTGTATAAAACGGGCTCTAAAGTCTGGTTTGGTAGCATACTATTGAAATGTGAAATAAGTAAACCCTAGTGCTTCTTAATACTACCTACAGGCTAATCTGCAATTAAGACAGATTTGTTTTTTATATTGTTTTTCTAATCTCACTGTAAGGGAATCTAAAAGTGACTTTCCCGTTAGTTTGCAATTTTCTAAGGAGCAGGAAATTGCTTGGTGAAGAGGATTATTAACTTAAACTTGAAGTACAGTTGTTATCAGAAGTTGCTGTGGACTGACTGTCCCAGTTCTATTCCGGTCAAGGACACATGCCTGGGTTGTGGGCTTGACCCCCAGAAGGGGGTGGTGCGTGCAGGAGGCAGCCAATCAGTGATTCTCTCTCATCATTGATGTTTCTCTCTCTCCCTCTTCCTTCCTCTCTGAAATAAATAAATAAACAAACAAATAAATAAATAAAACAAATAAAAGCATAATGGTTGTTGTGAGGATTCTGAGAAAAGGCCCAAAGCCTTTGTCAATCTTTTCTACCAGCACCTTCTTTCTCAGATATAGTTGTGTGGCAAAGTAGGGACAGAGATTGTCTTGGGAATTAGAGCTCAAATTGTTCTCTCAAGTTTTAAACCAAACATTTAGTTTTTACAGATTGAAAATCATTTTAGATCATTTGATTTGGGGGGAGATGACCATGTCTTTTCTTAGTTAAATAAGTTAATAATTAGCCCTAAACAGTTTGGCTCAGTGGACAGAGTGTTTGGTCTGGGGACTGAAGAGTCCCAGGTTCAAGTCCCATCAAGGGTATGTACCTTGGTTTCGGGCACATCCCCTGTAGGGGGTGTGCAGGAGGCAGCTGATCGAAATTTCTCATCGATGTTTCTAACTCTCTATCCCTCCCCTTCCTCTCTGTAAAAAAAAAAAATCAATAAAATAGATTTTTAAAAAGTAAGTTAATATTTATAAAGGGCATAGAATAGTATTTGACAATGGTAACCACAATATTAGTGTGTGTGTGTGTGTGTGTGTGTGCATACAAAATCCTTGTTTATATTCAGAAGAAAATAATGAGTGGGCTATAAGTAAAAGTGGTGGGCATCAGGCCAGGAATGAACCTGGGAGAAGTAATGAGGATGAGTGACTGGAATTGATATCCAAAGATTCCAGTCATTGAAATGGCTCTTGACCATTTGGTCTGTTATACCAAACTTTTTTTTTCCTTTTTGGGGTATGAGTGACATGCTCATACCAAATATTTAATTATAGTTTATTATAGTTTCTATTATTAAATGGCTTTCACTACCAAGGAGTCACTAATGACTCCTCCTCATACCTGATAGATGACTTTTAGGAAGTTTGCTAAATATTTTTTGGTCCTTGATACTTCCAGACTCATTGAATCTGCTTTCATCTGTAATCCCTTCCCTTAATGGAGTTCATTCTCCACGTCTTCCAATTGCCATTTTCTCCAGCCTCCTTAATGATATTTATTGATCTAAGTCCTGTCACTCAGGTTTTCTTCTCTTCAGCCCAAAGCAACTCATAATTCACCCTCATCTTTAAAAAGAAAAAAGAGCCAACTTAACCAAATACAGGGTATTAAATGTATACACACTTTAACAGCTGATAGCTCAATTTTAAAAATGAAATGGATTTTTTTGAAAAAAAAAATTAAATGTCTTTATTGATTTCAGAGAGGAAGGGAGATGGAAAGAGAGATAGAAACATCAATGATGAGAGAGAATCATTGATTGGCTGTCTCCTGCACCACCCCTAATGGGGATCAAGCCCTAAACCCAGGCATGTGCCCTTGACTGGAATCGAACCTGGGACCCTTCAGTCTGAAGGCTGCTGCTCTATATCCACTGAGCCAAACCAGCTAGGGCTAAAATGGATTTTAATCAAATCTGCCTTTATAATTATTCAAAGTCTGTGTATACATTTTTTGGAATACCCTGTATTTTAAAAGGCCTTCCTTAATCTGTCCCCTCAAATCACTTTTTTTTTTTAATACTTTGCTTTATCCTCAGATTACAAAATAGGTGTTCATCTATCTACCTTGTTTTATTATTCATCCCAAACCTTGAATACTACAATGTGTGTAACCAAAACTAAATTTCATAAATTCCTATTCTCTAACTTTTATGTCCTTGTTTATTTTACTAAAATTAATTCATTTGGGTTCAATAAATTCATTGAGTCATATACAGTAGCTGTTTATATAAACTGATGAACAAAAAGATAGATACAGAGACAGTAAAGCAACAAACAGACTGTCAAATTACAGTGGGAAGGATAGGAGGATATACACACTTTAACAGCTGATAGGGGATGATAGGGGAGATAAGAGATCAATGGAAGGACTTGTATGCATGCATATAAGCAAAACCAATGGACTAAAAACTCAGGGGGAGGGCATGCATGGGCGTGGGGAGGGGGGGCAATGGAAAGATATGTACACATATAATACCTTAATAAAATAAATAAAGATAAGCAAAAAGAAGAAAACAAAAAAAATAAATAAAGTAGCTGTTTAAGGGTTTGGTTTTTTGAGAAGTAATGTACAGATCTGACAATAAAAAAGAAACTCCTATGCATTATAAACAAATAACTCGGAGGTTTGTGAGATACAGGAAACAAGATTGGTGGTGAACTGATATTTCTTGGAGCTGAGTAAATGAGAGTTCATTAGAATATTCTCTGTGTATGTCTGAGACATTTTATAATAAATGTTTTTACTTTAAATCTCAGGAAATATTTAAATTTCAAACTTTGAAATAATAGGTTAAGATGAGGCCAGAGATAAGTTATTTGGTGTAAGAGCCATGTGATGGCCTGATGGGCAGATGGAGCCGTAAACTCAAATTAGCAGTCTGTTATTTCTTCTTACATAATTTATATTAAATGTATGTCAGGCCTTGAGGGGAAACATTGCCAGGTACAGCCTACCAATCTGGGGGAGACCTGGGGAGGGAAAGATTTAAACACAGCTCCCCTCCCCCTCTCCCGAGATGGAAGGAACATTTTGATTCTGTGGCAGTTGACGCTGGGCTGGAGGGAACAGTCTGGGGCAGAAAGGGATTACAGGAAAAGAAGCAGGGTGAGATTTCTGTGTAAATTAAAGCAAAATAATCCCCACACTAGAGAAAAATCAGAGGAATGGGTTATAAATAATGGTGGAGGATTTGGGAACATGTTCATATTTTCTCTGAATAATTCTAACAGATAAAACCAGAGATTATACGTAACAGGCCAAAGGAAGAGTAAGACAGGTAGGAATTATTTAGGAATGTATCTGTATATTGTTCTTTATATTGGCTTACGGCATTTGTGTAGATATAAAGCATTATTAAGGAAAGTTGGATAAGCTGGGATTTAATCTAACTATAGAAATACTGTATCTTGAGAGATGCCTATAGAAAAATGGAAGTGAACGTAAACCAGAAGAGACAGCCGGGCCAGTGTGGCATTGACTTGGAGGTACATGAGGGGTTGTGGGCTTGAGACATGCAGGAGGCTAATGATTCTCTCTCATCATTGATGTTTCTCCCTTTCCCTTCCTCTCTGAAATCAATAAAAATGTATTTAAAAAATAAAAAGAAACCAGAAGAAACAGAAATAATGTCAGGGAGTTGTCAACTGAAATATCTTTAAGAATTGGATCTTAACCATGGCTGGGTAGTTCAGTTGGTTAGAGCATCCTCCTCATACGCCAAGGTTGTAATTTCCATCAGTAGTCAGGTCACATATAAGAATCGACCAATGAATGCATAAATAAGTGGAACAGCAAATCAATGTTTCTCTCTTTCCCCTTCTCTCTCTAAAATCAATCAATCAATAAATAGAAATTTTAATTAGGTCTTGGTAAAGTCCCTGTTGCCTCTGCGGTAGTATTTATCCTTAATATGTACGAACAAAGACTAAATGCCACTTTGGTTTTCAATCCTTTCTCTATTCTAATTGTTGGCTCTGAAGCTGTCATCTTTCTTATGTATCGTCATACAGTTTCCTTTTCCTTCCTTTCCCTAGTTGTCAGTGGCATCCACAGATTTTTGCCGAAAAGGCTGTTTCAGGCTGCAGTAATGAAATCATAAAGAGCAATTTTTTTATTCTGGGAGATTTTACATTTGTCTCTTATGAGATTAGATAATTAGAATTTGAGGAGGAAGAAGAAGAAATGGAAATTCTTTTCTTAATACCTTCTTTAGTTCTGTAATTCTAAATAAAATAAAATAAAATAAACCTCACTGGAGCAAACACAAAGCCATTTTCCTAGCATGCATGTGCTTGTGTGTGGCATTTCTGTGGGGTCACAGAGTGCCTGTTTTGATTCCTCATGGAACAAGCACTCTTGGGTGATACCTAGAGTCAGTTCCCATTTCTTTGATTTGCTGTTGCCTCTGTTCCGTGTCAGTTATTCTGTCATTTCTTCCCCACCAAAAAAATCAAGGGGAAGTAAATGTTTAAAAAAAATAAATAAAAAGGTTACCATATGGATTAAGTTGGTAATATGAGATAAGAAAATAGAAGAATGTTTTAATGAGTAAAAATGGTTCTTTTAGCCTATTACAAGTTTCAGGTAGAAAATCCTATCGGATTCTCTTTTTATATTGTGAGACAAATTAATACTAGCCAATGGAGTTATTCTTTGGGTCTCAGGCTTTTTTATAATGTGTAGGCACCATTAAAATAAATCAGAGATTGCTTCATGATTCACCTGGAAAGTAGAGTGTAATTAAGATCAACAGCGTTTAAGGAATTGTGTTAGTCTTTTAGGATATTCCCCCTTTTAAATTTCTCCTAAGGACAATGTTCAGCAAACATAACTGAACATATACTATACAAAGCAATATTTTAGCCCATTTTGTGATAAGTCCATTAACTATTCAGTGTGGCTTTTTATTAGCAAAGAAGTGGATTTCCATAGCTCCTGACTTAGATTAATTTTTTTAAAAATATATTTCTGTTGATTTTTTACAGAGAGGAAGGGACAGAGAGAGAGAGCTAGAAACGTCGATGAGAGAGAAACACTGACCAGCTGCCTCTTGCATACCCCCTACTGGGGTTGTGCCCACAACCAACATACATGCCCCTGACCGGAATCGAACCTGGGACCCTTCAGTCCGCATACCAACGCTCTACCACTGAGCCAAACCGGTTTCGGCTAGATTAATTTTCTTGAGGAAGTTCCAATGCATCAAAAAGAAAGCTCATTGCCAGGTAGCGTGGCTCAGTGGTTGAGTGTCGACCTGTGAACCAGGAGGTCACGATGCAATTCCCAGTCTGGGCACATGCCTGGATGTGGGCTCGATCCCCAGAGTGGGGCGTGCAGGAGGCAGCCAATCAATGATTCTCTCTCATTAATGTCTCTCTCTCTCTCTCTCTCTCTCTCTCTCTCTCTCTCTCTCTCTCTCTCTCTCTCTCTCTTCCTCTCTGAAATCAATAAAAATATTTTTTTAAGATTAAAAAAAAAATCATGAATCAAGCTTGAAATTAGAGCAAAGTTTCAGCCCTGCTTGGAATTGCCATAGGGAAATACTATGAAGCAGCACTAAAATTCAAGACAAATCTACACAAAATGTTCAGTTAAAAAACGTCCTTTAGTGAGGCCAAAGGTTTGAAGCTGTCAAATCACTTATTAACTTGTTTTCTTAGTCATGCAGCACCTGGGAAGAACATAGCATTAATGTTTATTTTAAGGGATTATAGCAAGAGGAATGGAAATGTTGGGGGGGAGGAAAACAAACTAAATTACTTTGTAGAGAAAAATACTGTAGTTGAAAACAGAATACGAGGAACATGCTAATTAGAAACATTGGTAAAAACTAGATTATTAAATAAGCTTAGAGAAGACCAAGATAAAAGAAACCAAGTGTGAGAAGGGTTATTCTTTTCCATGGAATTTTGTAAGAATTCATTCCAATTTTATGTAAGGCACTGGTGGGTACAGTGGTTAATCACATTAGTGCAATAAGACATCAATAGTGCAAATTAAGCCATACAGTTAATTATCCATTATATGTTTTTATTTGGCCTTGGAATGTGTTTTTTTTATACTTATCTCTCTCGGGCTTTATTTGATAGCCTGGGAACTTATTTCAAACACTTATGAAGATCTGACTCAGGAAGTGCTGGGAAGCAGTGCAGTGTGTTTATCCTGACCCCTGTTCAACTTTTTCCTGCAGCCCCCTCCGTGCTGGGAATAGACAGCTGTCCTCTGAGGCTGAGGCTAACCAGACTTTGCAGACCTTTCTCCTCTCCAACAGCCTCTGGATGTGGGGTAGTTAGTTGTTAAGTGCTTGGGTTTCTAAAGGCTCTTTGAAAAAGAAAGCTATGTAGAAAAAAATAGATGGCCTGTTAATAACTGAGTAGAAAAATGTCATTAAACTTATTTTTCTTATTTTTTCAATTACAGTTGACATTCCATATTTTATATCAGTTTCAGGTGTACAACTTAGTGGTTAGACACTTATATAGTTTACAAAGTGATCCCAAAACTCTAGTTCTCACCTGGCACCATGCATAGTTATGATAGTATTATTGACTATATTCCCTATCCTGTGCTTTATATTCCAGTGACTATTTTGTAACCACCAATTTGTGCTTTTTAATCCCTTCGCCTTTTTCACCCAGCTCCCCTGCCCCCAAAATGTCATTAAATTTAAAATGAAGTTTGTAGGGAATTTAGATAATCATCCACTGATGGATAAGGAAAAATCAGAATTTATTAAACGAGAATATAACTAATTATATTACTCATGTTTAATATGAAATTAGACCATTCTGATTTTTATTTTAATGAGACAGCACTTTGAAATTAAAAAAACACACAAAAAAACAATTTTTTGATGACTTTAAAGCCCAGAATCATGTCGGATTTATTTCTTTGAATGTTTATTATTCAGGGTATTTTGTATGTATTTTTTAGAGCAATTGGTATCTATAGACTCACATGTTATTTTAAATCTTTATATGAACTCTTTAAAAATAGTATTAAGCCTTGCTTTTTCGTCTATAAAATGATTTTTTAGTTTCCCTCTTCTATTGTAATTTAGCTATCATTGCTATGGGCTGGGTAAAGTCTTAACAAAGTTTTACATCAGTGTGTTCTGACTATAAAGTTAATATTAAAAACCAACTTTGATTATTGGGATGCTTAGTGCTCAAAAATTGGATTTCCTGAACATTATATTAGATTATTAGTGTGTATTTTATACATATTTATCAATAATCTTGATAATTATTCTTGTTTTTCTTCCCTGCTGTAGTTGAATGGATCGCAGCAGTTACCATTGCTGCTGGGACAGCCGCAATTGGTTATCTAGCTTACAAAAAATTTTATGTTAAAGATCATCGCAACAAAAATATAATTAACCTACACATTCAGAAAGATGACCCCAAGGTCGTACATGCTTTTGACATGGAGGATTTGGGAGATAAAGCTGTGTACTGCCGTTGTTGGAGGTCCAAAAAGGTGAGGAAATAAGTTCTTTATATAAGTACCATCTTTAATGAAATACTTCTTTTTAACTATTCTATCAAACTGGTATCACCAAATAATGTTAAGATAGCCAGTCCTTTTCAAAAAATTTTTAGATGGATCTTGTTCTTCTCTGTTTTTCTTATACTCTTCAGGAATATAGATACTAAAATGTATAACCACTGCCTCGCTGGTTTGGCTCAGTAGTTGAGCATCAACCCAAGAACCAGGAGGTCATAGTTCAGTTCCCAGTCAGGGCATATGCCTGGGTTTCGGGCTTGATCCCCAGTATGGGGCATGCAGAAGGCAGCCCATTAATGATTCTCTCTCATCATTGATGTTTCTATTCCTTTCTTCCTCGCCCTCACTCTCTAAAATCAGTAAAACACACACACACACACACACACACACACACACACACACACACACGCACGCACGCACACACACACGCACACAAAAGAACGGTTTAAAATAAAATGTATAACCATTATAAAGTAAAATTACATCATATTCTCATTGAGTTCAGGTGAATGTAACCATATTTTAGCCAAAGAAGAGAAAGAAATCTATTTACTAGCAAAGATTTCCTCTTCAAGTGGATCCTAGCCTCTGCTGTCCCACAAAATGATGTATGCAGCCTACACACAGAAATAGAAGACATAAAATGTTTTCTTGAGTTTTCAAACTCCTGGATTCTAGGAAAAGTTTTAGAAATTTCAAGAGAAAGTTTGGGAAAATTAGCCTTGAAAATTTTTTACCTAATAAACATATTGACTCTGTATCCTAAACTTTCTTTAAGCTGCAGCTTCTATAGTTAAATGTCTAACATTGTATTTTTTTAAATCTTACTTTCTTTTGTGAGAATTGCATTTCATCAGGTTCCATTTGGAAGTATCATCTGTGATACCTGCAGCTTTTAGACAGTGATGACAGCTACTGATATAAAGATGGTAAATTACCCTTCTAAGGTCACCTTGAATAGCTCATACACTAACTGACTTTCTGAAGGCACATTATGTGAGGGACTTTTCCTGTACTGGAGAGCCATTATCACAAATCAACATACCACATAGGAGGCACTGGGAAGCATATTCCACTAACTCCCTTCTCCCAATACAATTGATGTTGCATAATTCAATGTATAGTACTTAGATTATGTCATAGTGTCTAAAAATGCTTAATGAACATATGGAATATGAACCAAAAATTAATAATGCTATTGCAAGTTATACCTTAAGAATGCTATTCATTTGGAATGTGGGATTGTTCAAAAGTTACTACTGGGGTTGCTAGAAAATAATCCTCAATAATAATCTATAGACTACATCTGGTTTGTTTTCAAAAATTATACCTATAATAAGTTTCATTCTTTCATTGCTCATCAAAATATAGAAAGTAATACCTGTAAAAATGAGGGAATTTCTAAGTCAGAGTTGTAATAGCTCTGTAGTCAGTGATTTTAAATAGTTCATTTAATATCTACTCTATATACATGCATGGCAAAAGTCATAAAACAGCAGGTATCATAGATGGGTATAGTGGGTACAGTACAAGGCCTTTAAATAAAAAGAAGCGTTATACTATGGGCTACAATTTTCTGGGAAGATATAGTGATATATATATATATATTTAGAGAGAGAGAGAGAGAGAGTGTTAAATTGCCCAGAAATATTGGTGGCATTTGAATAGACTAGCAAGTATTGGAAACGTTATCAGAATCTTCTGGAAAGAACTCATATGGGCAAAGGTGGAACCAGTGAAGAATCTAGTCTTGTCCTTGCACTGTCTGCCCCCAGAAATAAGTCCAAATTGAAGAGCGTCTTGAGTGTACCAGTGTGAGGAGTTTGTGCCTCTAGACTTGGGGGAGCTCCTTGTCAGGGATTTCAGACATAAAGTTAAAAGACTTATACCAGGGTGCTAGCTATGGGACTGGGAAACAATGAACAGATAGATATATGAAACATTTGGAGGGAAGGATCAGCCAAATGCAATGATGATTTTTGTTAAAGATTGGGGGAGATCAACTGATGCTCACTGAAGTACCTAACCCTTTGTGTTTGTAGAGATGGTGCCATTAACAGAAATAAGGAATTCAGGGTGAACAGCTGGTTTCCTAGGAGTTTTATTCAAAGAGTGAACTTAAGGTGATGTTGGACTGGAAATGTACAACAGACAATCTGAAATGTGGGACTAAAATTGAGACATCAGGGTTAGAGATAGAGATCAGCAAAACTGATGAGTCAAGCATAGGAATGCAACCAACAAATCCTGGATACAGATAAAAATCAAGGGCTTAGTTTGAACTCTTAGGGAATTTTGGGAAGAGGAATAAGAGCCAACAAAGAATAAATGGGCTAGAGTTAAGAAGAAAACTAAGAATATTTTGGCTTTGCAGTGGAAAGGGGGAAAGTTTCAAAGATTTGGTTGTCAGCATGTGTGAAAAGTCAACCACATGAATAGACTTAGTCAATTGACCTTTGGTGTCATTTCAACAGAATAGAATAGAAGCTGTGTCCAAGTGATTTAAAGTATGACTTACTAATAATTGCTAAAGTCAAATCTTCATTAAATGTGAGTGAATGGGAAAAAGAAGAAATTATATGACAGCTTTAGTGGACTCTAAACCTTGGTTGGGTTTTCCCAGAAGGTAAAGCGTCAATAAAGCAAATATATTCTTTCATGGACTAAAATCTTAAGTATTTCAGGAAGAATCACAAATAGACAGAAGGTGGTGATTTGAATGTTTATTAGACTTTATAGTTCAACATAACATTCCAGGATTATTCTTGCATCGTACAATTTAGAATTTTCAGATGATTAAACAAGGGATTACCATTTCCCATAGCTGGACTTTAAGGAAAGGAATGCGAGACCAATCATTTTATTTTCAGTCTTTTTTGTGTGTTTAACTTTTATGCTATTAATGATCCTCTTTGCATCTAGGATTTGTCACTTTGGAATTTTCACTGAATCTTGGATACTTTCTTATTCCCAAAGTGAATTAGGAGCTCACTTTGAATATTACTCAAGTTAATGGATGGTCTTCTTCTTCAAACATCTTTGGAAGCTCCCCACATTCTTGAGGTTCCTAAGGTTGTCATACAGGTGCCAAGTCACACATTTATAAGTCAGTGCACAGACGTAGTTAATGCCTTGGATTAGATAGGTGTTACATTCAGTAATTTTTTACATTCAGTTTTTTTTACTTATACAACCTAATTGTTTTATAACAAAACTTAAATGCCTTTTTTACCTATTCCCAAAAACGTTATATTTTACCTAATAATAAACATGTAAATTGACCGTACCAGCACTACGCCCACAGCCAATCAGAGTGAGTATGCAAATTAACCCAACAAAGATGACAGTAAATTTGCATACATACCTGGATCTTGGGAACCTCAGCACCCAGGTCACTCCCAGCTGGCCATCTGGTGGAGCTGTAGGTTTGGGAAGGGGCCTAGCCTGTGACTGGAGGTGCCGGGGATCCCCCTTCCCAAGCCTAAAGTCTGGGGCAAAGGCTTTAGGCTTGGCAAGGGCTGAGCCTGGGATTGGAAAGAAGAGGATACAATCAATGGAAACATATCCTCAGGTGAGGATAAAAAGAAAAATAAAGAAATGTCATATCCTATGAAAGACACATCTTGAAAATGCTTAAAGAAAGTTGTCATTTTTTCATGGTGAAGGGACTGGAGTCCATGTTGATGAAAATACCTTGGTGGCTGCAGTGACTGGCAGTGGCTGCAGCAGCAGGGTGATGGGGCTGGTGCCTTCCCCTGATCAGCCTGGTCACCTCCAGCAAAGGAAGGCCAGACTACGGCTTAGTTCCGCTCCCAATGGGGAACGGGCCTAAGCCATCAGTAGGACATCCCCTGAGGGCTCCCAGTATGTGAGAGGGGGCAGGTTAGCCTGAGGGGCCCTACCCCAGTGCACGAATTTCATGCACTGGGCCCCTAGTGTAATATAAACTTTAAAATAATCCTAATTATAATCACTTGTTTGCTGTGTGTATGTAACAAGAGGTTTTCCCAGAACTAATGAATCAGATCTCTTAGGAACATGTAGAAATTCATTTTTTAACACACTTTGTAAAGTGTAAAAATCCATTTTCTCTTTCTCGCAATTGCCACACTGTGCAGGCAGGGGTTGCGCAATTAAAAGCTATTGGGATGCTCACTGCTAGAAAACTCCCAATGACAGGATGAGTTTGTACTAGGGAAGTTTTTACTAGGTGTCCCACTGACAGCAAGGAACAGGTGCAGCCATCTGGGGAGGGACTGTGAGAGGTTGGCTCCAGGGCATATCTGGCCCAGTCCCGCCCTGCCAGCCACCTTCTAATTAATTTCCTTTGAATGTGCACAAATCCAAATCTGTGGACCGAGTCACAAGTGTTTTATAATCTGTGTGCATAAAACTCTACAGTGACATGTTTTATGTGAGCTATTTATAAAAATGGAGTCTTTTACAATGTAAACTTTCATTCTCACTGTAAAATAATGTGTTTGTTTATCAAACTTGCCACTTTGAAATGCTGTTATTTGCTATAGAATACATTTTAGTTTGATTTTTTTAATGGCCTCTTTCCTCATCTATCCAAAAAAAAACCTAAAAGCTTGGGTTTGTGTTTTTGCTTAAAAGATTTGTTTTTAATATGAATAAACTGTGTAGCATATCTTATTGACCTAAAAAAATAAATAATGCAAGCTTCATATATATTACATTTATAGTGCCCCAAGATGGAACTTATACCTGGATATAGAAGATACTCTGAAAACCTTGAGGTTTTCTATAATTTTTAACTAATTTACTGCCTCAGAATTATATACAGATAGTAAAATTAAAATTGAATTTCTTTATCAACCAAATGTTATTTTAGTTTTTGAAATAGACACTTCTAATATCAATGTTTAAGATTACCATCATTGTCTTGTTTCGGGTATATGAAATTATATTCCCCTTCCCTGTGAGTAATCAGGTGATTTTACTCTTAAGGCCAAGACTCTCTTTTTTTTTTTTAATATATTTTATTGAGTTTTTACAGAGGAATAGAGAGGGATAGAGAGTTAGAAACATCGATGAGAGAGAAACATCGATCAGCTGCCTCTTGCACACCCTCTACCGGGGATGTGCTCGCAACCAAGGTACATGCCCTTGACCAGAATCGAACCTGGGACCTTTCAGTCCGCAGGCCGACGCTCTATCCACTGAGCCAAACTCATGGGCCAAGACTCTTGTTACTGTACTCTTCTAAATTTCCTTCCATGCAGTAGTGTACCTTATATTATACTAAACATGAAACTCTAGATTAAATGAAACAGGTGCTAGCTATCATTATTTGACATGAAGTAGAAGTGAAGCTATAAATATTGAAGGAGAGAAACAAACGAATCTAGTGATAATTGAGCCTTCTAAGTGTAAAATCCTGAGGAGACAGCTAACACACTGTTGAATCCTTATTTTTATTATTTAACAGTAGGAAGGATACATTTGCAAAAACCAATGATGCATACACAGAGAGAGGTCATATGTAAAAATATACCTACTTATAATAACCAGAGAACCTATAACAAAAATAATCTTGTCAGAATATACTTGAAGCTTGAGAATGAAAACTGCAAGAGGAGTAAAATAGGATTTGGAAAAAAAAAAAATAAAAAATAAATAAAAAAAAATTTCATGTTTATGAGGAAGAATAAATAGGTAAAGTTTAAATAAAGTTAGCTAAAGAATAAATAGGAAGGGTTTAATAAAGAATAATAATATGGCGCAGCCAGCATTGCTCAATGGTTGAGCATTGACCTATGAACCAGAAAGTCATGGTTCAATTCCTGGTCAGGGAGCATGCAGGAGGCAGCCAATCAATGATTCTCATCATAGATGTTTATATCTCCCCCTTCCTCTCTGAAATCATTAGGAAAGTATTTTTTAAAAAAGAGTAATAATATTGAGGGAAACTAACCCAATTTTAAGCTTATTTTAATCAGTTATCCCAGTGGAGTAGGTTGATGAATATAATAATATCAAACCAATATCTAGGCATTGTATATTTTGTTTTGATAAAATTATGAAGAAAAGTATAACAATCTAGGGTGCAACCTCTAATAATAATGAAGCAACAAGATCTAGAACAGCATTTTGCAAAGTGTACTTTATAGAACATGATTGTGGATAAAGTTAAAAGTGCCCACAGTCTAGTCAGTTTGGAAGAGTCTGGGGTAAAATAGAGTTTTTTAGAGCAGGACCTTTGTAAAATAATAATGTATATTGTGAATCAAAATAGCTTTGTATGTGGGTTATGTTTGTAAATTTTTAAACACATATTGTAAGTTTTTTAAACACATATTGTAGCACTAACTTCTTTGGAGCATACTCTGGGAAACACTTAAAAAAATTTTTGTCCTTTTTCCTCCCACTGGACATCAAAATATCAGCTATATCTAAAATGTGAAATCATGAGCCTGGCCAGCTTGGCTCAGTGGTTGAGCATCGACCTATGAACCAGGAGGTAATGGTTCGATTCCCAGTCAAGGCACATGCCCAGGTTGCAGGCTCAATCCCCAGTGTGGGGCATGAAGGAGGCAGCCAATCAATGATTCTGTCTAATCATCATTTCTCTCTCTTCCTCTACCTTCCTCTGTGAAATCAATAAAAATCTATTTTAAAATGAAAAATAAAATAAGAAATCATGAAACAAAATGTGAATCTACTATATTTCTAGAAAAAGAAGTCTCCATGAAGGATGTTAAAAAGAGAAATGTATGAAAAGAAATGTATGATGCTAAAAAGGCCTATTTGTATGAAAATGGGAAAATTAAGGGCATGAAAAGCTAAGTAAAATAAAAAGCTTCAGGGGAAAAATTGTACCAAGTTGATCAACAGAGGGATCATATACAAATTGATCCTAAATAAGTGAACTTAGGCTCTTACACATAAATAGGCAATGGATATAGCCAGTTCACACAAAAAGAAAGTATAACTAGTATATAAACATAGAAGGGTTTTCAAAATCCATACTCAAATGTCACAAATGGGAATGCTGTTTTATATTCAGTTATCATGATACATATGTGACTTGAAGGTCACCCCCACTCTGCCAAACATAATACTGACTTTGTGATTAAACATTTTATATTCTCCTCTTTTCTTCCCAGTTCCCATTCTGTGACGGAGCTCACACCAAACACAACGAAGAGACTGGAGATAATGTGGGACCTCTCATCATTAAGAGAAAAGAAACCTAGATCGACAGTTTCCATGCTGCAAACCAAGTCGTCCTGATTGTTTAATTAGAATGACTGCCACTTTAGTCTAATTCACCTTCTCTGGGTTCTGTGGGTGGTATATTACAAACTGCAGTTTTCATATTCATGTCATTTGCCTTACTTGTTGAACCATCGTGGTGCACATTTGTTTAAACAGAGGGTAGAGCAAAACTGACCTGGCCTGTGGGTTATTTTGGTTTTGTAAGGATCCGTTTGCATTTAATATAATCACATTAGAATGTAGTTGTATGTTCAAGTTAACATATTAAATTATTCTCAAAATCGTGTATGTGCAGATTTACTTACAATTTTCAAGAAAAATCACCACCTTTTATTAACCTGGAAAGTAAATTGGGTGTAGTTAAGCTTACATTAGTCTCTTGAGACTTAACGCAATCTAGGAATAACTGGGTATGACCTTGATTTTCTTCTTGACAGTGATAGTGACACTGAGAAAATATGGCTGCCATGTTTTCCCAGTCTTTAATCAAAATGAACTTTGAATGTTATTCTGCTTATTTAGAAATGGGCCAGGTCAATAATAAAGGGGTGGTGACTTCTTTGTACTCATCTTCATGGGTATTTAATTGATCCATTAAGATAACCAGTAAAGGCTATTTAGGTCACAGAGAGAATAGACATAAGTTGTCATGAAGAATGTCTAGCCCAGGGAGTGGCAAGTACTTGATATGTGGACATTTAATTGGAGCATGTCATATCAAATTTCTCGAAAACAAAGCCACACACCCATGACAAATAGTAATCACAGGGCAAGATCAAAGGTGTGAAAACATTTTTATTTCCCATGTTGATAATTAGGCATATGACTGATTCTAGTAAAAGCATTTGGGGGAGAAAAATAAGAATTACATCCTCTTTTAAATTGTATTTTTTTTCCTTAAGAGCAAAAATTTGAAGACAAATATTTGTCATACTTTTTTAAAAGTTTGTTTATTGCTGAAAGTATTACAGATGTCTCCTTTTTACACCCATTTACACTAGCCTGTCCCATACCCCATCCCAGGCCCTCACCACACTATTGTCTGTGTCCATGGGCCGTGCATATATGCATTTAAGTTCTTTGGTTAATCTCTTCCCACCCACCCCCATCTTTCCTCTGAGATACTATAGTCTGTTCCAGGCCTCCATGTCTCTGGATCTATTTTGTTCATCTGTTTATTTTCTTTAGATTCCACATATGAATTAGATTATGTGATACCTTTCTCTGTTTGGCTCATTTCGCTTAGCACAATACCCTCTATCCTGTCTGAAAGGGTAAGAGATCCTTTTTTACAGCTGCATAGTATTCCATGGTGTAAATGTACTACCGCTTTTTATCCACTCATCTACTGATGGGCACTTGGGCTCTTTCCAGATCTTAGCTATGAATGTGGAGATGCTACTATTAACATAATGGGTACATACATCTTTTCTGAATGGTGTATTGGGTTTCTTAGGATATATTTTTAGAAGTAGGATCACTAGGTCAAATAGCAGTTCCATATTTAATTTTTTTGAGGAAAACCCGTACTGTTTTTCATAGTGGCTGCACCAGTCTGCATTCCTACTAGCAGTGTGCTGGAGTTCCCTTTCCTCCCCATCCTCACCAGCACTTGTCATGTGTTGACTTGTTAATGGTAGCCATTCTGTATACTTTTCAAAGACAGTCCAGGACATTACATATTCAGGGGGGAAAATGTGAAAAATAATTAGCAATAAAAGAAAGACATAGTTAACATTTTTTAAAGAGAATTATGGGTCTTATGGGTTAGAAGGAAAAAATGACAATGTATATGTAATGTAGACTAACAAAGTGAAATTGACAAAAGTAACAAACATTCTTGCTGTCATTTGATTCTAAGTAGTAGTTAATCACAAGCTCCTACTTGCTAAAATCCAGAATTACCTTGGAAGTCACAAGAATCAATGAAACCAGACATCAGCATTCTTATATATACAGTTTTGCATATTGTGGTAGATAAAGTTGGTCCCCCAATTGTGTATGCTGGTTTTAAGTAACCCATATGACATACTTGGACATGTTTTCAAAGCACATCCCTCACAAAATCTAAACTACCACAAACCCAGATTCTACCTATCAGTTTCTTAGGATAAATTTTTCCTCCCCACTTTTAAAATAAGTATGAATGGGTCAGCAAAAAGAGCATCATCCTTTTATTTTTTATATATAGTTTTATTGATTTCAGAGAGAAGGGAGAGAGAGAGAGAAACTTCAATAATGAGAGAGAATCATTGATCTGCCTACTACACACGCTCCAATGGGGAATCGAGCCCACAACCTGGGCATGTTCCCTGACCGGGAATCAAACAGCTCCTCGTTCATGTGTGGATGCTCAAACATTGAGCCAGGTGGTTGGGTGCATCTTGCTTTTAAAAGGGGGTTTCAAAGAAAAAAAACAAAAACCCATGGGTTCCTAAAGTTTCTGATAAAGGGACATTCTCTTAATAGACCAAACTTTTCTTTATCTTGAACTTGAAATATTACATGTTTTCATAGTGGGGGGGGGAAAGTAGCACCAGTTCTCAAAATTATTTTTCAAAGGCATAGGAAAAATGTGGGTGTGTATGTTTATGGTGAAATTGGAAATGATCACCTCCCTGTGAAATGCAGATAGCATCAGCTACCTCCTGCACACACCACCTCCAGCACAGATCCAGTTCCCAACCTGGAATCAAACTTTGACCTGGTTCATAGGTCGATGCTCAACCACTGAGCTGGCTGGGCTATTACATACTCTTAAACTAGGATTTCTTTGGATATTAAAACCTTTTCATGTTACTTACTGGTTATCTAAAAAATCAAGTAGGTGTGGCTAAAGTAATGTGAGATGTTTTCACACAAAAGTCGTGTGCAATTACTGTTCTCATTTAAGCACCCTAAAGCTTCTAAATATTTATTTGATTGGGAAATCAGAGAAGTGGAGCTTTACCACACCACCACCATCTTTTTATCCTCTATATCATTTATGTTCTAGTGATTTCCAAAATAAGATTTTGGGCTAAGTTGAGAAGTTTATATATATATATATATATATATATATATATATATATATATATATACATACATATATATATATTTATAATTTTTTTTTTTTTTTTTTTTTTTTTACTCATTCCAGAGAGGAAGGGAGAGGAAGAAACATCAATGATGAGAATCATTGATCAGCTGCCTCCTGTTCACCCCGCACTGGGGAATAAGCCCACATCCCAGGCATGTGCCCTTGACTGAAATCGAACCCAAGGACCCTTCAGTCCACAGGCCGACGCTCCATCCATTGAGCCAAACCAGCAGCCAGGGCAAGAGAAGTTTCTAATGTTATGAGGAAACTTAATTCTTCAGTGATTCAGAATGACATTTGTCTGTTTATGCAACAGCCATGTATTAAGCATATAGCCTATAGACTGTAATTGAGAATTAAAAGCTCACAGTTTAGAGTACATCATTTATGACCTAGGTTATATAATTTATGATTTGGTGTTATTTTCCTTGACAAATAAGAATTACAGTCATGTACACAAGAGTCTACTACAAAGTAGGTGGATTTATTTGATTATGCATTCAATTTTTGTTTTGTTTTAAAATAAACATCCATTTAGGTTCCTAATTAGCAACATGTTTAGTGCTTGGTTGTCCGTGAGGGCGTATTGCCCTAGTTGTCAGGAGCAATGCTTCCCCTGATGTTAACACTGATTTCAGGCAGAGCCACTCACCTCTCAGCCTTGTAATTGAAGTAGTTGGACTAAGTGGCATTTTAAGCAATTGTTCCCAAATTCTAGGCGCGCGCGCGCACACACACACACACACACACACACACACACACACACACCTCATAGAAGGTTATCAACTAAAATTTAATTTTTATAAGATTATTAAATGTGGGAATAAGTAAGTCAAGGTCTTATATAAAGTTTTCAAATTTATTTTTTAAGATATTAAAACACCATAGTTTGACTTTAATACACCATTTTTATATATATAGAAGCTTTCATATATGATTATTAGCACACTGGATTGAGACTTCATGCAAAATTATTAATGTTAAAAATGGTTTTTAATTCACTTTCCCATCATGGATCCACACTAAGGACAGTGCCAATCTGTCCTAACCCTTTCACAACCTACAACTTTAATATAGAGATTTGCAAAGGATAATTTTTAGCTGCACATCTGCCTTTCCTGTGAAAAGTCTCTATTTTTTCTGTATTTTAGAGAAGTATTGCATGTATTAACTGAAGTTGCCAGAAATCCTGCCAAAGAGGAAAGACTGGCAATAAGATTGTAATCAGTTGCCGAAACCGGTTTGGCTCAGTGGTAGAACGTCGGTCTGCAGACTGAAAGGTCCCAGGTTCGGTTCCGGTCAGGGCATGCATGTACCTTGGTTGCGGGCACATCCCCGGTGGGGGGTGTGCAAGAGGCAGCTGGTCGATTTTTCTCTTCATCGATGTTTCTAGCTCTCTATCTCTCTCCCTTCCTCTCTGTAAAAAATCAATAAAATATATTTTTTTAAAAAAAGATTGAAATCAGTAAATGAGAGAATGTGATGAAAATGGTAAATTAGGAGAATTAAGCCCTGGTCAGTGTTCTCAAGTGGTTAGAGCATAGGCCCACGCACCAGAGGGTATGTACCTGGGTTGCAGGTTTGATTCCCCCGCCCTAGTAGGGGCTCAGGTGGAAGGCAACCAATTGATGTCTCTCTCCAATATTTCTCTCTCCTCTCTCTCACCTCCTCCCCCTTGCTACCACTCTCTCTAAAAATCAGTGGGGAAAAAAATCTTCTGTGAGGATAAACCAAAAGAAAGTTAAGTAAATAAATTAGGAGTACTGATAGGGTGTCACTCCTTAGGTCTGTGAACAACAACAACAAAAAAGGAATGGGGGACAGTTCAACCTCAAACGGGGAACAAGAGTGCCAAGCTGAGAATGTTGTCAGGGGGCATTGTGTAAACCAGATGTTCTTCACTTTCATTAGCGACCTGTATATCTCAGGATAGTCTTTTTCTTTCTAGTCCTTCCAACCTGTCACAGATAAGCAGAAGTCAGTTTCTGTCAAGAGCTGGATCTTCCAAGTGCTATTTCAAAAGTTGTTTTCATTTATAAGCATACAGTTTTCTAGAGTCCCAGCTTTATTTTTCTGTTTAAAATAATTTTGAACATTGCCCACATGCTCATTATGGTAAGATAAATTGTTTATTTCTAGTAATACTGTCAACCAACACTTTCATTGTTGGCTTAAGCAGTGGCTCATCTAACTCCATTTACAGGATA